CCAAAATCGTTCAGCCCTTATATTTACTATATGTGAACAAGTGCTTATCCAAAGTGAGCTTAGACTAAAACTTCTTCCTGAATACTTTTGTTAATTGACTACTTTTTAAGCTGTTAGCCTCACTAATCAATCTATTTATATTAACATTGGGTCGAAAGACTATGTGTAATGGGAAAAATGTTGCTCGCAGTGACAAGCCCACAGATAATTATCACCCTCCCTTCCCTTCAGTGGTTTTTCACATCATTCAGCTCATTGTTTTGGTTTTATGGCTCATATTGCACTGTTTCCATTCACTCTAACCTTTTTTTCAGCATCAGCAGGCAGCTGTACACTACCAGTAGACAGGCAACGTTAGCGGCTAGCAGACCATATGAGTGTTTCCTAAAGTAGCGCCCCTTCGAGTTGCGTTTGTCCATGCCTGCCAAAACGGCACATACAGTGTGTGCATTAACTATGATACATAAATCACATGACCTACATCACATGACATTAAACACGCGGTTAATGTTGTGAAACAATCGCAGTTTGGTTTACGCAACAAAAACTACTTGGTTAGGTTTAGGAAAACGTCATGTTTTGGGTTGAAGTAAATAAATTACGTAATTCATGTGATGGAAGTCACGGAAGTTGCATGACGGAAGTCAATAATGTAAGTCACGTGACACGTGAAGTCAGTAACACTATTTGAGTTAAAACTCAATATAACTCAACATTTACATAGTTTCACATGGGACTCATTTTTCTCCTCATGAAAGTGTGGTGTTTGACCCATCTGAACACCCTTCCTGCCTTTGTGCCTGTTTGTCACCTGACTTCCTCGTTGTACGGCCACTAGAGGTCGCTGCCACGATAAAGTAAATATGGGTCGTAAGGTCGTAATAACGTGCTGCACAAACAACCTATATTGTTGTTTTTTTGGTGAGGACTGTCTCGTAAACAGGAAAGTGTTGTAAGTGTTGTGCAAATTCCCCACAGCAACTTTATAATGAGCCGATGTTGTGTTTAAAGTTTGTGCACTGCCCCCAACTGTGTGTCATTTTCAGCTCAAAATACTCCGATTGGTTCACTATGAAATAGACCCACAGCCATTTTTATATTTTGTGTCATGATGAGGTGTTTATTGCTGTGCAGTCATTTTCTTATGTGTGTGTATATGTATATACTCCATATTCCTGTTTATCCAGCTCCCCAATGTCTTTTCCCTTGGATATACTGTGTAGGATTGAGTTAATGTTGGTGGCGCTGTTTGTGAGTTTCACAACTGTAGCTATTGCGGCTCATGGCAAACAAACAAGAACTACCTAAATACTACCAGAGATGTTTTATAGAGCAGACACGCCACTCAATCACATCCTCAATACAACTCTGTGGTGAAAGCCCGTAACGGCTAAGATGGCGGTTATCCCACCCCTCCCGATAGAAAGCCAATCATCTGCTACAGCCAAAGCGGGAAACATTTTTCAGCCAATTGTGTGGTTCCACTGACATAAGGGTCTGCTGTACTTCTGCTGGCCATGTGCGAAAGCGGTGACTTAGAAGTATAACTAGTCGGGAAAAACGCTTTTTTAACCTTATTTTGGGGCAAACTAGTCAAACTTTTTCTGCGATTTTTATATACCCTATTCATTCAGATAGGAGCCTGGTCTTGTTAGTCCAAAATAGCTGCCCGGAGGCGTTGCTAAGATGGCTGCCGAGTGGCATGACTTGCCTGTAAAGGACTTTGACACTACACATTTCTTCACTCTATCCCAAAAAGCCACTATTTGTAATGACACAAAACACCTGGTTTTTCTAACTATGAAAAGATCAAAATGTAAATGCATATATTAATTAATCAGAACTCGATAGTAAAACAGAACAAGAGAGTAAATTGAGAGAAATTATTTCATTTTTTAACACTTTTACATACTGTCTTCTCCATATTTTGATAGACTTCAATACTTCAGACAGTTTTCTCTGTTAGTGAAAGTAGATCTTTAGAATCCATATTTGATTTCCGAACTATTTCTTCAATTGTTCTTCTATTTCTAGTTCTTGTTGGAAAATGACTTCTAAATGTATTGTTCATGAAGATATTACAAGCAGTGAACTTTATCCCAAATCCAATCTTGAGATTCCACATATCAATGTGTTGTGTGGTGAGAGAAGATGCTACACTGCATACAAATGTGTATGCGAGATCATTAATAGCATTGCAAAGATGTGCCAAATTGAAAATGGAGCACAGATGGTTTTTCGTACAGTTCATTACTTAGATTGCCATCTGAGAACAGAACTGTGGAAATACAGTGTGTGTGCATTGATGAGTCATGTACTGTATGGGCAACAACAACTGTCTGCTGTGGCTCTGAAGACCACAGATAGGCAACCAGACAACACTGGTGTAAAATCAGTGGCAGTACTTTTTCTTATTGTTGCAAATTCACTGAAGAATTTGCACAGTTAAATAATGAATAGTCTGTGCTGCAGAGTTTCTGGATTCAGTAATAGATGTCCTGTTGATCCTAACATTTTAATTGAAGTGCTGATCGATACCTACAGGCTGATGAAGAACATCATGGAGTGTGTAAATTAAAGAAAATATCATATATTTAATTATGACTATAACTTTAAATAACTCAGTTCTACATTAGGGCTAGCAATTGTTTCAAATAGAAAATTTTATAAGGTCAGGTACCTAAACTGTGAAACATTAATTGAGAGAGATATATTGTATTGAAACTTTTCATAACCAAACTGACCTTATTCTGAATGACAGCTTCTATTGAGAGAATACATTTCATTCATCACAAAGCACTAAATTAGTGCTTTAAATTAAAGATAAAAATAGTTTATATGTTGAGAGTCATGTTGAAAAGGTCAATAAGATATGCACAAGAGGTGACATTTATTAATTTTGAGTCATACAGACGTCTTGTTTTTTATATTTTATTTAATTTTAGAGTGCAACTTTAACCTTACTTCAGATAAGTACTAGTATTTGTTTGAGTTTTTGTGTTTTTTTCCCTCCTTTTTAGTCCAGTGCATGGTGATGTCACAGACCGAGTGAGAAGCTGTGGATAAATAAGATATTAAATTAAAAAAACTTCTTTCACTCCAACAGTTCTCTTCATACACTTTATAATACATCAAATATTTTCCCACAAGCCTCCTTTAAAAATCGAACCCACGGGAGCTGATGGAATGAGCAATGAAAGTAAAGCCAAATCCTTCTTCTTCTTTACTTCCCCTTTTTAACGTCTCCCTTAATGTAAGCCTTGTGTAGACATATTATATCATTATGTTTAGCTACTCTTTCTCTCAGTCAGTGTAAAAATCGAAAAGATACAAGTTATCTTTTGGAGGTTGAGCTGTTATTTTCCTTGTCTCCCTGTCTCGCTCTCCTGCTGACACAGGTGTATGTCTGGCTAAACAAACTTGTCCTCAGGAAACTGTAGGCTTGTGCAAACAGTTTTCCTGCCTCCCAAAAACAAGTTCCTGGCTTTTAACCTCTACTTACAGTTCAGACTGGGAGCTCACCGAAGAGGGTCTTTTAGGTTCGTTGACATGCACAGGAACATTGAGCTTACTTTGAGCTATAGAATTCCTCCTTGAGCTTTTGCTAAATTTACATAGTGAAATTACTAAAAGCTGGAGTATTTCTACACTGGATCAAATTACTACAGATACACAAGTCCTCCAACCTAAACAGCAAGTCGTTTTATCTATGCCTCCCAAAACGACACATATGAGCATAAACTATGTTACGTAAGTCACATGACCTACGTCACGTGACATTAAACCATAAACATGTGGTAAACATTGCGAAATGGTCGCAATTTGGTTAGGTTTTTTCAACAAAAACTACTTGGTTACTACTACTTAGTTTGGGTTCAAATAAGTACATTACGTTAGTCACGTGACGGAACTCAATAAGTCAATAACAGAATTTATGTGACTTAAGTCTGTAACGCTATTCAAGTTAAAACTCAAAGGAATTCAACATTTACTTGGTTTCACATGGGACTCGAATGCCATTCTCCTATCTATAATACATCATCCGACTTCCTCCTTTGATACCGTTGTACGGCCAGTAGAGTTTGCTGCCACAATAAACGTAAATATGGGTCATAATAACGTGCTGCACAAATTGCCTTTATTGTCATTTTCTGGTGAGGACAGAAATTGTAAAAAGGGCAGCTTGTATTTTAAATCTAAAGACCATTATCGCTCGACTCTGCTCTGTACCTCTGAGGTCTATGGAGAATTTTAGTGTCTTTCAGGCCTTTGTTCTTCTTTTAGGGGACGCAACTTTACTGTTTTGGTTCACTCTCATCAGCGTTGTTTTCAGAAGCAGCTGTTTTCTCCTCAGCTCCAAACAGCTGACAGACAAAGTCAGCGACTAGCTGGTAAACATATTGGAGCATTTAGCAGCTAAAGAGATAGATATTTCACTCAGAAGTTGCTGGGGAGCAAAGCAGAGCTTAAAGGAGAATGAATACTGGACTTGGTTTCATCAAGTGGACACAATCACTACCCCAAATTATTGATAATCTAGCTTCTGCTCAATGTGTAAATATGTTCACAATATTAACTGATGTGCTGTCCACCAAGTGGCTACAGAAAATGAATTAATGCAGGTTTATATTGAGGTTTGGATCCTGGCAAAATCTTTTTGAATAATAAAGATAGTTGCAGCAGTGTGAGATTTTCAATACATGATCTGAATTAAGTAACACTACTATGGAAGAATTCGATACCATAGATAAGCAAATGTACATGGTATGATAACCTTCAATTTCATACCACAGTATACACTGAAATCGTACATGAAGACGAATCAGATAGAAAATTGGAGACTGAGGGATTTGTATATAGCTGATTGAATGTTTTTTTATGTCTTTATTAGTGTATTTCATCTTCTTTTGCTTCTTGTTGATAAGTATTGATCTGAAACTTCCTCTTGTCCTTATCTAATCCCTTCTGTCAGACTATCAGCTGCACCCCCCATTTTGTACCTGTGCCCGACTTCACTCTCCTCCATTTTAGTCATCTCAGTGCACAGCAGCTTTCGTGAAATCCATTTCTTCACAACACCTCTGGGCTCCGCACCTCCCTGGGGTGAGGTGAGCCCTGCTGTCATCATCTTCTCTCTGCTTGTCTGCAGGTTGAAAACTTTCCTCTTTTATCTGCGGGGTCTGAAGAGGCCTAAACGCCAGTCAGAAAGACAGGGTTGTAAATCTCACTCATCGAGGCAAACATCTCCAACAGAGGATTATGTCTCTTTGTCTGTGTTTGATTTCATCTTCCACTTCTGTAAAACAGTGGTAGAAACACACATGCTTAACACCATTTCAGTAATTAGCCTGAAACCCTTTAAAGAGAGGAAATTCCTATTTTTTAGATTTATTTTGGTGACATCTTGGTTGCAAAGCAGCCAAGTAGACGCTTCCCAGGTATCGCCTGTCAATAAAAAAATATTGCAATAGTGTGCAATCTTCCCTCAGTTTTTCTGTAGATGTCTATAACTGCTCATGTTCCTCATCTGTTTATTCTATACAAACAATGCTGCTGCTTCTGGTAACATAAAAAGAAACATTTCCTATGTGGAAAGGAATGATCCCAGGAAAGATCTACCCAACAGAAAGCTTTCATAGGCTGAACGATCAGCAGACAGATACTAGACTAGATTCTGACATTTATTAATAGAAACATGAATAATAATAATTGTCTTTTTTTTAAAGTTTGTCTTGATAAATGATTGTTTTTTTTTTATTCTATGAGTTGTGATTCTGATGGTGATCATAGTAAAGGCTTATTGTTTTTGTGGAAAGTGTGGATGTTTGTTTAATTAAAAGAAAGCCATTCCTTTCCAACAACCGACCAACTACAGGAACTATTGGGACTCATTAATGGAAAACTATGGCTTATTACAAATTAGGTTTCATTGTCATTGCCCTGACCATCCAACCCGTTCTCATCCCAGGGTGTCACATGCATATGCTTGATCCAGACCCTGGGTACCCTATAGCGTAGATTTTGCACGTGTAGAGCTTTGCGGTTAGATTTAGAAAAAGATCATGGTTTGATTTACATTTACATAAGTCAAGTAGGCCTAACTTATGTACCTTACCTAAAAAGAAAACTTTTTTGACTTTTTGTATCACACAGAAAACAAACACCAAACACAAACACAACGTCTTCTGACCCACCCGTCCACCCACTCCACCTCTTACTTGGACTTTGTTATTTATAATAGGCCTACTTTTAGCTTTGAACAATGACGCTAAAGGGTGCCATGTATGCTGGTACCACACACCAAAAGACCTGACAGAGCGTAGGTATTTGACCCCATGGGAATGAGTACGGGCTGGGCCATCAGGTCTATCACTTATGATACTGTCATACTCACCACTAAACCCAACAGGCTGAAAAACATAAACTTTCTGATAATTCTATAGGTTGTAAACAAGCCAACCGATTTGCCAGATTAGCTACAACTTTATTCTGAAAGTGAACTGAAAGTGAGTGCACCAGCAATGTCAGCAATAATTCCACAACATGGGGTGTCCTTGTGGCCTCTAGCAGTTAAGATGCAGACCCTGTACTGTGATCTCAATGTCCCCTGTATAATTTCAGCTGGGTACCCTGTGGTACATGTCATTCTCCCCCTCTCTCCCCTCATTTTCTTTAACCATTATCCACAAATAAAGACAAAATAACTTCTAGTTTTCTCTTCCACATAACTTTGACTAACCTGAGGATTTGTTTTTTGTGATCGGTGCCCCGTTGGACCAATTTGTAGCGTTACTTAGATCCCAGTAATTAAGTTAAACATTTGATTGCACATCGTTTCAGGATATTGGAACATGCAATAGAATATCAATTACAAAATGCACAAGTCTGGTGCTGGCACTTCTGGCTGCTAAGGGAGCTGCACCACCTCCCCTCCAGGCTACTGCCCAGCCAGGGCTCCGTGTTGTTTTCCTGCCCGGCTCCTCACACTCCCTTCCCTAAGGCAACCTCCCCACTGCTCCTGAAGAGCATCAGCTCCTCCACCTCCTGGATACCCGACGGTCCACTGACCTGCTCACCCTGGTCGGGACAACAGAGAGACTCCTTGTCAAATATCCTCTCATCGACAAGCACTTCACGTACGTCCCTTGCTCTCCTGAATCACAGGCCGTGCTCCCTTATTGCCCTCCTCTGAAAATGTTCCTGCCTTGTTACGGAAATGCATGAATAACGTTTCCCTTTGTCCTTGTCCTCTGAACTTCTCAATCATCTCTAGTTACTTGTACGTTTGGGCACTGGCTACTTAAAATGCAAATGTAAAGAGGTCAGTTTTGAGTTTCTACATTTCAGCACTCCAGCAAGTTAAATGTGGTTTCAAGTCAGCCTTGATCTGCTTGAAATGCCCTGCAAAATAACAGACTGTGCAGAACAATAGTTTTTATGACTAAATATCAGTGCAAACACAAATTGCAGACCTGGAAAAGAGTCATGGATTTGTAGTGTTAGAATAAATTGGTGGTGAGAGATAAGGAGCTTTTTTCTCCTTTTTATACATTCAGGGAGGTTTTGCTGAGCATGCATACTCTTATTCAGCACCTTCACATTCACATGCTTATTTACATTTTTACACGCCCTACAATACTATAGTTATCCACTGCCTGCAACTGAAAAGACCCACCAACATACGGTGCTCAGGGGAACTTCCATGCTTAGAAAACAGGAACATCACAACAAAAGTTTCCTGGCTACCTACAATTTTTGAGGGAATTCAACACAGTGACCAAGAGCCCATCTTTGTTCAGCAGCACCAACAGAAACCCAGAAACACATCATACCTGGACCAAACAGTAAACAGCAGTTGAAGAGATGATGAAATTTTAAATAAAAAATTCTGGTGGGCAACTACAACTTAGTTTGCAGCACTAGTCTGCCAAAACACACCAACTTAAAAATTCAAACGATGAAACAACTTCATATAAGTTGTGTGAGAAAAACACCAATGAGAAGACTTTTCACTGTCTTATCAAGCCAGTCTCCTATGTATTTAGTCTTAAGATCTTGTTTTTCACTTAAAAAACAATTTGCCAGCAAAGGAGAGATACTTCCATATTTTGTATTTTCAAGTGTCAACATCTAGAATATCAAAAACTTGCTTTAAAGCCCCTAAAATCTTTTTCCATAACATTAAACATTCATGACTTTATAGCAACAATTAAAGCTAAAGTTTGATGGAAAAACACCCCCAAGTATTATTCATGAGTTTAATGCTCTAAAACTTCATCAGGATTGTGTGGCTGTTGTTTGATCAGACTTGACGGACAGCGGTGGCAACGCAAGCAAACAACCATATACAGAAGTCATCATGTTTTGGTCCAGATAGTTGAACTCTGATTGGTGCAGGGAAGTATGTGACATCACCTAGGGCCTTTTCAAACCAGAGAGAAAAGCAAGGACAAAAACACAAATACAGAAATCCCTCACTTCAAATAAAACTATACAGAAACTGTGCTTACTTTGGCAGAACATGTAGGACAACATCATAAAGAGAAAGGAAACTGACTGAGAAAATAAGGTTTGAAGAATTTAAAGCGAAATGCATTTTGAAACTCAAAACTACATTCAGTCAAGTTTTTTAAATTTCAAATGGCACGTCTGTCCCAAACACTATGAAAAGAAGCACGGGTCACACCCACTGCAAGAATCACACCATATGAAGGTATGTTTCTTGTAAAGCCTCTGAGAAATTGTACAGTGGAATACAGCATGTATCTGCAGCAAAACATCCAGATATTCACACATAAATAAATGTTTGCACTCAACCACTACACCCTCTCAGTTCCTGTACTATATATGTTCATAACACATTGGGAAATTCACAATGAGTTGCTGATTTGCTCTTCTGCAAGAAAAAGAAAATGTGTTGAAATACATATTTAAGCCCAGACATAAGGCAGGTAAATAAAAATGCATATTACAAATTTTGCATGCATTCACCTTTGCCACAGACATACATTTTAAGTAAATATTGAACCAGGGCCAACAGGGAGGAAGCGCCACAGTCTTCTGACAACTGAGCGAATTCTATAATGTTGTAAACAGAGTATATTTGCATCATGATATCTCATCTTTGAACACTATGTGCACAAGAGGGTGCGTGCGTGCTTGTGTGTTTGCTCATATGTGTGTGAAATACAAAGACAGACAGAGGCAGGCAGAAATAAGAGTGCTGAGTTTTTAGAAAGCCCTGTTTTAAAACAGTGAAATCTAACAAAGGAGGAGGGGGTGAACAGATGTACTTTGTTCGTGTGTCTGACAGGTATACCAGAAAGCTCTCTTCTCTAACAAGCAAGCATGCGCGCCCCTCCAGATCTCCTCCATGCCGCACGCCTTTCTCCTCCCTCTCCCGTCCCTCGGCCACAAACCAGCCCACAGCACCTGCAGGTGGGACCTCACCTGCAACTCCAGCAACGTACTCGGGATCCTATTAAAAAACTTCTCTGTGTGCAGTGTTCTCTCAAGTGGAAAGCCTATTTCATTCCCTACGAGCCAAACAGCTTGCAGTCACTTGACGCTCGGGTGGTTTGTTGCAGATGGAAAATAGAGCTGCAGAGGCTTGGTTGTGTTTGTTTTGGCATTTGGTTGTGATCCAGATACGGTGGGTTTTTGACTCGGCTAAGAATCAAGGCTTGAGGCTTGAGCTTGTAGTGGTCATTCCCAAGCTTTGCACTGTCATAAATCCAAATCTGAGATTCTTTTATGTTAAGAACAAGTTGTGGATAAATCAATTGGACTGAAACACCTTTGATGAATCATGATCAAAGGTAGATAAATGTTGAAATATCATTCAAAGGCTTATAAATAATATTTGTATGTAATGTAGATGTCTCTCCAGAAACACCAGCATTAGCTGTTTGTAGGGCAGTAATTCGTATTGTCATTATTAATGAATCTGTCAATTATGTTTTGATTAATAAATAAATTGTATCATCTATGTAATATCATAAAAAAGGTGAAAATTCTAAATTAATCAACACATTGTTTCAGCTTTAGTTGCCTGTTCACACTTTTAAAGTTCAGTGTGTATGTTTTTGTGGCATCTAGTGGTGTGGGTTTCGAATTGCAACCATAGGCTCACCCCTCCCTTTTCCAAGCGCGCCGTAGTTGAAGCTACGGTGGCTGACATGCTCTGTCAGTTCTTGTGCTAAATAATACGTGTGGTCCTTCATTTGTCCAAATTTCACATATCTTTTTACTTCTATAATAAACCAGACTAATGCCACTACGTCTTCTTCTTTTTTATACGTATTTAACATAGTGACGAAACACGCTCTGTGAAACTGTTTGTCCGTATAGCCTACTGTAGAAACATGGCGGCGCAACATGGCGAGTTCCATGTAAGAGGACCTGCAGTGTAGGGTTCACTATGGAAGGTCTTTATACACGTCTGAAAAAATAGTTATGTATATTATATTGCACATCTGTCAATAAATCCTTACACACTGAACTTTTTAAACCAAACTACAGTATGTGTATGTTTTCCTGTTGTGTTTCGTGTGTGTCCTGTGTTTCGTGATGTGACATTGTGTCTGACATGAAAGCCAGATCACGTATTATGCATCTTATCGAAAGTCAGCGTCTTAAACATGACCGCACCCTAACCTTAACCAAGTAGTTTCATTTGCCTAACTATATAGGTGACGGAACAGAAACTTTCCATATGAATTGCATTGAGAATTCAGTGGAATGACAAGTTATGTAGTTTAAGAATAAGGACTTGTTGGGGCCCGTTGCCCTTCCCCAGAACAAAGGCAATGACAAATGAGTCATTGTGATGTTTGGGATTGAAGTTGTGGGATAATGTTGGCATATCACCAAGAACAGCATTCCAATGACTATACTTAAAAGTTTGTAGACTGCCAATTTCTTTCTGTGTTCCTAAGGATAAAGGAGGCAGGAAAGAAAAACAGTAAATCACCTTTCCTTGCCGGCATAAAGAATTCCGACCATTTTAATCATGGCTGGCACTTAAATTCTTTAATTAACTCAGCAAAGAGCCCTCTTAATCAAGACTTTTCAACTGTACCCCAGGTATTAAGAACAACACATGTAAAAGCCATTTTGAAATTATAACTGTTATAATTATTAATCACAATTATTCTGAAAAGGTTTATGCGAAGACAAGACTTTGTAGAATAAAAGCTAAATTCAGTTCCAATGTTGGTCCGATAAACTATTTTTTCTCGTTTCTCAAATGGCTTGGGATTGTATCCCATCTCTATATCAGTACATGTAGCACACAATTGTTCTGTTCTCCTAGTCCTGCTTAAAGTTCCTAGATTTAACATGAATAAAATGACAGTGTTAGCTGTGCAAGCCTTATCGTGGCAGTCAGCGATGTTGTTGGTGTTTCTGGAGAAAGGCACAGCAGGCGTGGGTTTAATCTGACCGTTGGAGGGACAGACTCTCAATCAACCAGTGAATCATACTGAGGGCACAGTAGCAGGCGAATCCCTGATTTCATCACTGCAGATTAAAGCAAAATATACAGAGTGACATGAGATAAGTCTGCAGGCTTGAGAAAGCGTGAGGATCACATTGCTCAACTCTGACTTCAGCTGAAGTCTGGTCTGAAGAGCAAACTTTAATCATAATTTGAATCTTGGCTGTCGAACTTGTTGGCAAAATGCCTTGAAAGACATTAAAAGGATTCTATTGGATAAAACAAGGGCTCCATTTTAGAAGAGGAACAGTTGTTTGTCAATGACAAGTCAATGACAAAATGTGTTTCAGTGAAGATGCGTAAATGTACGTTACATTAAGATAAGTCCCTTTCAGGCACATTAATCTGATTTTACAATTGCACCTGTTCATTCACGTGGCTTTTTTATTTTTCAAAGTTAAAGGTGCTTTGCTTTGAGTAGTTCACCATGTTCTCTTTCGACAGTCAGAAAAGCGTTTGAAAGCATATTTAATTTGGAAGCTAATAAATGTTCTCGACACCTACGGCATTTGTCTTTATTTTATTAAATATTGGAAGAGGAAGAAGTTAAGAGAAGACTATATAGACATCAAGTCTAAAACACACCAGTGGTCTTGGTTGTGACAACCGCTGCTCTCAGAAATGGCTGCGAAAAGCAAATCTGCATAGGCAAACACATGCTGTGCGCTCGCTGTGTCTGTCTCTGTTACACAGACAAACAGTGATTCTTATTTCTGTCACAGGGAGAAGTGCAGGTGCTGCAACCTTTTGCTGCTAGTCCTGTCAGAGTGAAAAACCCAGCTGTGCGGTGGGAATGACATACTGCAAATAGGCCTTCAGCTTCTTATTGGCATTCAGAGAGCCTAACCCTTCTCTCTCTCACATACACACACACACACACACACACACACACACACAGATCCACTTCCTCGCTTGTCACCATGCATATTGATAAGCCCATCCAGAGCACCATCTTGTGGACATTTCCTTCTTTTGTGGTTGTCTAAAATGTCACTTTTGTTTATTGGGCAACTGACTAATCACATGTTTAATCAAAAGTGCCTGGGAGATTTTTCTCTCTTTTTTTTAAGACACAATTTTTAATTATGAATCTAATTTATGAAAATCAATTCTCTGCTATAAGATATAGCATCATTAGCATTGTCTGTCTGTGTCTCTCCTTGGCATTTGGCTCAGTGAGACATACTGAGCCAAGTTCTTATTGATGGCTCATAAGTTTGAAGTGGGATCAAAGAAATAAGTTTTATGGCAACAAGCAGAACTCATATCATATTTTTTGCATGACTAGCAGCAACAAAAATGACAAACACCCTCCCCTACACACACACACACACACACACACAATTCCAGCTACCCCCTACCAGCTCATGTAGATTACATTCGAAATGCAATGTGTGTGAGCGCTGGCAAGATATCTGTCTCCCCAGGGTGTGTAGTGGTGCAACCCCACTGCCTGTGCTGTGGTGCAGCCATCTGGATCACAGTGGGGAGCACCTGACGCCTTTACGCTGCATCTGCTACACTCTCCTCGCCAATCCTTTCCTACTGAAAAACCTTTTCCTCTATATTTCTGCCCCGGAGGCATCGATCTAATGCATTTTCAGAGCAAATCTTGTTGCAATTTCCTGTCATTTTTGGAACTTTTTATTGATACTAAAAGGGGTTTGCTGCCCTTTTTTAGCCGCATCCTGCTTCATACGGTGACACATTTATATCTTTAGAGCTGCTCTAATCATTATTTCTATATTAAAAGAAAATCAAATGAAATACTTTGAATCTGACAAAGGTCGCTCAAAGTGATGAGCCCACAGAGACTCATAGTCCAGCTCAACTCGCCTCGACTCTACTCGCCTTTTTATGGTTTTCCATTGGGCAAATCTGTTACCCGGTAGTTTTTTTGGTATCATCTCCGTCTGGGTTCCATGCAAGATGAGGCTATACCAAAAGGAAACGTGAAAACACTGCAGTCTACTGATTTGTCTGAGATGATCGTCACTTTTCACTGCTTCGTCATTGCACGCGCCAGAAGGGGTATCCCGAACGAACCCGCCATTTTTAAATAGTTTAGCCAGAGATTGTGAGACATTAACTGTAACAATACTCTTTGTACTTGATTACTTTTACAAGTGGTGTGTGTGGGTCAAAATTATGGCCTTTTATGCGGCGTCTCTAATGACGACCAACATTCAGGGGGTACCATATCTGCCATGAAAAACAGAGGCTGGGGGACCAAAAGTGAGGTAAGTAGAGGGGAGGGGAGTTGAGCTGGTACCGGAGGGGGTTGCAATGGAGTGGATAAGACACATGCCTTTGGTGTGAGAGACCTGGGTTCGATTCCCACTGTGACACATCCACCAATGTGTCCTTGAGCAAGTCGCAAATTTGTGCGACCTCTGATAGGCTATATATAGCAATTGAAAGACACTTTGGATGAAATGAATTAATGTAATATACCAGCAATGGGTAAACACCATATCACCCCTCAGCTTTGCATAGTGGTTTAGCAACTTTGAGCTGATTGTTTAGGTTTTATTGCAACTTTAATGTTTTGGTTCACTCTTCGCTCTCATCAGTGTTGATTTCAGGCTCAGCAGGCTGCTGTTTTCAGTTTATAAACACGTCTACACGCAACCTGCCCAGCATCAAATAGCAGACAAAGTTTGCATTTAACAGCTAAACAGCGTCAAATCTTCTTCAGGAGTTGGTAGAGAGCAAAAAACCTGAAGAAGCTAAAATGAAAGTGAATACTGGACTTATTTTTAAGTTCATCATATTAACTCAAAAGGTAATATATATCAGTGTTGTGTTTACATCTTGTTTCTGCTGCCCCAAAGTTGTCAAATACATTAGTTGAAAGTGTACTATTATCGTCATTAAAAAGTAATATATGTAAGTGTTGTGTTTGTAGCTTGTTTCTGTGGACTCAACGTTGTCAAAAACATTAATTAATGCATGTTTAAGCTTTTCAATACAACAGAGTATTAGGGTCACATTAAGGGGAAAAAATGAGAATGAAGTTTTTTACTTATTACATTTCGAAAATAAAGTGGAAGTGTCAAAAATCAAGTCGAAATGTTGAGATTAAAGTTTAATTTGTACTTATTTCTACTTTATTCTTGAAATGGTAAATCCATTTTTTTTTAAAAACTTCAAATTCAAATTCAATCCAGCTTCATCCACTGGAGAATAAATAGGTGTTAATTTTAGTAATCTCCAACTTGAAAATCGCATTCTTATCTTATTTATGTCAACACAATCCTGCGTTGATTTGTTTACCACCCTCACTCGTGCTTTCACCTTGCTCTAGATTTATTGACCAACTAACTCGCCGTGGAGACAGGCAATCAGCTGGGCACTGGTACACCCGGTGACCTCTGATGTCAAGTCGCTACAGCAGGATGCAGCAGCAGCATATTGATAACGGCCCACTGCTTGCAGGCGGAGCTGAAAAATCTATACTTCATCTTCAGCGCGTAATAGAAATGATAGTGTGAAGCCCCAAAATAGAACTTGTACACACAGGGGTCACTATGATTCAGCCCTGTACAGCAACACCACAAACTGCAGCCGCAAAATGAGGTGAATCAACACATCTTGAATGAAAACATCAAAAAAATATATATATTCTGTTCAAATTTACACATTTTAAGATGCTACATAATGTGGATTTCTCACTTAAATTCTGTGACTCTTTGTGACTCTTATTTTAATGATCTCCATAAGCACCACTGGTAACCAAACTCTTTGAAGCAAACACTTTCAACATTACAAGCAGCAGTCACAATCTCCTTTGTGACTTCATTTATGCTAAATCCAAGGCATGAAAAAGAAAGGTGGGAAAACCTTGAACTGCCTGGCGAAAAAAAAATAAAAAAAAACTCAGAGGGTATGATGAAATGGATACGATTATATAATTCTTCTGTTTAAAATAACCTTATCAGTCGCCTTTGATTGCATAAATATTCACGATGATGAACTAGGCACCTGTATCAACAGCTTAGAAAAGAAAGTAGAGCTAAACAATTACTCATTACATTTATTCATGTAGCTGACGCTTTTATCCAAAGCGACTTACAATTGCTATTCATGTCAGAGGTTGCACGCATCTGAAGCAAATAGGGGTTAAGTGTCTTGCTCAGGAACACGCAGTGGGAATTGAACCCTTGTCTCCGACACCAAAGGCATGTGTCTAATCCTATTTTGTTAATCGATTCAGTCATGCCGAGACGAAAATTGCAAAATATTCTCTGGTTCCATTTTCTCAAATGTGAGGTTTTGCAAATGTTCTTTATCATATATCATAGTAAACTGAATATTTGGGGTGTTTGGTAGGGGAAACAAGCAAGCAATTTGAAGATATCACCTTGGGCCCTGGAAAATTATAACGGGCAATTTTCACTATTTTCTGAGATTTTATAAACAAAACAATTCATCAATTAATCAAGGAAATAATCAGCGGTGTAATCAACGTTTAAAATATTATTAGTTGCAGCGATAATAGAAAGCAAACACTTCTACACAAGACAATAAAAATGTATTCACGCCTTCACTAAAAATGTTCCTGAAACAATATCACAATTGACAGAGCACACATCAGTCAATTGATTTCTTTGCATTGAATATACAGAATTCTTAAATTTCACACAAGGTTTTACTATCATGCAATAACCATAACCTCTTCTAATTTTCATCTTATCATCATTTACTCATTACTGAAAGTAAACTGACTTTATTATTTCATATGTCCAACATGGAGAGACATCCAGTTCATTAGCTGGTCAGTGGGTTTGTCCTCAGACTTTATACAAGTCCCACTTTCATGGTCTATTATAGCTGAGAGAAGAGTTGAGCAGCATTGTCAACATTTACAGATTCTTTTGGTGGCTCTCTGACAACCTAAAAGACAAAAATAATAATAATAATTATTATTGTTATTATAAATGATATCAAGATAATTAAAATGTTGGATGATGAACAGGAGTTTTAAATGTTCACCTCTACCTGTGTTTGTTTCTTTGGTTCAGGAGCAACAGACTTCGAAACACTCTTAACGTCCCTCTGGACTTCTGTGAAGATTTGATTGAGGTTCTCCACCTTCTCATTTTTCACTGCATTGATCTGTGAAGCCACAAATTATGCTAGAGCAGGAGCAACAAAGACTACATACGAAAGAGAATACAAAATATATGTAAGAAAAAACAACAAAGAAGAGATCTTACGTGTTTGAGTGTTGTCGTGACAGGTTTCGCTTTGTTCTTGTGCTTCAAGTGCTTGTTTGCAACTTGAAAGACGTTCTTCTGTTTCTTCCCCTTTTGTTTATTCCTCGCCATGTTACCTGGGGAGAGAATGCCAGGGGAGACATTTAATTCCTACACCATAGCCTCTGTTTTCTCCTGTGTTTTTCATTAATTTACTTGGCTTCAAACTTACAACTGCTCTTAAGTGGTCGTTACTTTCCACGTTGATCACACATGTCCACTACTCTCTTTTAAAAATAAGCCATTCCAGGTTCTCCACATGCCTCCTATACTCAGCGGCCACCTGATTAGCAACACCTCTGCTTATGCCCGAAAGCTCACTCCTTCAGACAGTGAGTCATAGCACTTAACACAGTCAAGAGGTTCAGACAATTTATGAATAAGTGGCATTGAAGTGATTCTGAATGTGGTGTAATCTGAGGCCAAACATGCCAAATTCAGGCATTGCTGACCACCTTCTAATTTCGTGCCCAACAGTGTCTGGCTTTTTACTAAGAGTTGCACCATAAACAATAACAAACCCTCAGGGTGCGAACTACAGGGGAGCCAGGGAGGATAAGACATCAGCTCCCCTAAAAGCATGATTTGTGATATTTTGGAGGGTCTCTAACATATTGACAGCATGCTTTATTGCCATTAATTTATATATTTCTCTATCATCATGGATCCATGCCTAATCCATAGTGGGGCGTCTTACCCCACTAGCTGGGAAAAATGCCTTTCTCCTAAAATTGACATTTGATTACATTCCAATTCATTTCTCAACTGTATGTATACATTTTACTTTATATTATGTTACCCTAAGCATGGCCATCTCCAAGATAAAAAAAACCCCATAAAATATTATTTTATGTGTCAGCAAATAGACATTGAGCTTAGGGGGGGGGGGGGGGGGGGGGCGTCTTACCCCACTCCACCCTATGTACTTTATTTTAAACATGTGAAATGTAATGCAATATGCTTTACATACAAAGGAAATTCACATTCAACTTTATTGTCATTAAGCAGAGTTACACAGTACAGAGCTAATGAAATGCACTTGGCCTACACATATAAAAAGAACAAGAGAGAGAAATCCTACAGTCAAGTGTGAAGACAGAAACTAGACAACCTAACAGTTTTTTTTAAATAATGTCATGCACTGTGCATCAGTATCAAGTTTATTTTGGTCCTTATCACCCAGCCTTGAAATGTTGACGTCCACAGAGGACAAATTATGAGTCCTACTAATAGCTAGTAAATATCAAACAGCAAGCATTGCTGTTGGAAAAACATTTAAATGACTCTAGTGAAACATTAAGTCAACCAAAATAATTCACAAGCGTCCAAACGTTGTTGCCAGTGGCTGTCTGCGTGTGTCGCAGCTCTTATTTTCGTCTTATTCTGATGATGATGATTATTTTAACTAAACTATAAAGTAATGACAGCAGGGATCGAACACACTGCGTACACGGCTTACCGATTTAACAATGAAATATAGACAGACCTTTCTGAGGAGCGGTGAGTTGTTGTTGATATCCTCATGTGCTACAAACGTGCCTATGTGTGACTTCCTTCTACGTCATTTGCGTGCGTCTCGCCCGTCCCCTCTTAACTCCTCCTTCTCCTAAAAGGCTTCATGCTGGTCTCTTATTTTATCAGAGTTTACATTATTTGTTATGCCAACAACGTTTGTCGAAAGTAAACGTGGGATTTAACAAGGGAAAAAACGGACACGTTTCAGACGGAAACGTTTCAGTGGAAAGTTATCTACCGAAAATGCCATTATTTTGAAAGATGACTTCATTGAAGAGATTTATGTGCTTCCTTTAATTTCCGGCGACACACACACACTATTCGCCGTTTGTTTAAACATTTTTGTTTTCTCGTTTAATAAAAATATGGTCTGTAAATCCTTCGTGCTGGATTCATACACATAAAAGCGAAATATAACCTGAATATTTTATGTTCTATGGGGGAAATGTGCGCCCATAGACTGTATATGAAAATAAAATCACCCGAATAAAATGAAAACAGCACTTCCGTTTTGGAGGTGGGCCTTCAAAATAAAGGCACAAACTTTTTGATCTTGATTTTTAACACAAATAATGCGAAGACTTTTGGAAACACATTCTGCGCCATATTACCCAGAAAACTATGGTCAGTGATTCAGTGGTCAGTGAGTTTTGGAAGTTACCTCAATAAGTGGTGGAGGGGGAGATAATTTTGAAGTGTTTTGTATAGGACTGCAACTAATTAGGCCCATAATTATCTATTATGGATTTATCTTCTGATTATTTTCTTGATTAATCAATTGATTGTTTGGTTTGTAAAAAATCTGAAATAGTGAGGAAATGCCTATCACAAGTTAGCCCAAAGAGGCGCATTCACAATGCTTGTTTTGTCCAATTAATAGTCCAAAATTATTATTATTTTTTAAATTCAAATAGCCTAATACAAAAAAGGGCAAATCCTCACATCTGAGCTGAAACCATGAAATGTTTTGGTATAAAAATTAATTTTCTGTGAATTAGCTAATAATTTCATCTTTACCTTAAATTTGTATTAATAGTTACATTCCGCCACTGAACATGACATTTTAAGCATTATAGGCCCTACTCCAAAATACTTTTTATGCAATGTTAACTTATTTGGATTAAGATGGACTTGTGTGTTTGTTATGGTTGTTTGCTTATCAAAGCTGCATGTTGGGAAAAGAAAAATCAAGAGATGCCCCAATCTACCTTGTACTTTCACCACAATGCTTGTAGTCTCATTGACCAACAGCAGGTGGCACCGTACTACCACCACATGTGTGTTCATTACAGGTGTCTGATTGTCTGACAGTCGCAGCTATCACTGTGCACTGAGCTGTCCTGCCACTACAACGTCAGTCATCTGGGCCTTTTCTACATCAGCAGACACTGATATTGCTTACTTTTCAAGCACCTCATGTGTAGGCTATGCCTGCTGCAGGACTGATAGACAAATCAGCAGGCTTTCAGTTTTTGTTTTCTGTCTTGCTGAGTGCGCAAAAAAATAGCCAGATAACTCTCCAGTCTCCAAACTACGAAAGTAGTTTACGGGTTTTTCATTAAACACCTGTCTATGACTTTCCTGTAGGAAGTAGGCTAATAATTCATTTGATTGTTTTTTTTTATTTCGGTGATCCAAATTGAGGTCTCGTCCAAATTTCCTGAAACTCTGCAAATGCCCTTAAGCAAGAGTCCAGAGTGCAACTCCTAAGCGGAAAGAGATTTCCCCTTTGTTTTGGATCAAAATCCACATAAGTAGAAGCTGAACAACCATTGTTACCACTGATGTCACATCGTTATTAAGATTAGGCTATGACCCATGTCTGCTAATATTTTCACACTCATCCCTTGTTCATTCAGACACCTCCCTCGGCGATCCAAAGAGCAATCACTGTGATTATTGATATTTTATAATAACTTTTTAATAGCCTATGCCTATATGAGACCCAACCTTTTCACTTTTATTTTTTGCGTGGTGGCGTTTATATAATAATTCCAAAGAGATTATTTTTATAAGCTATGTCACAGCTGAAGCCACTTTCAGTTCGAAGGTGACTCTAAGCTGCATTCTGTGGCGCAATTCTTTTACTTCCTGACATGAGTGGCAAATTAACCCGGTTAGCTGAAAGGTGAAAACGAACTCAGCACGTTTGTCGAGGAATATTATCCAGCTCATACTATCTTGTCAGTGAAGACTTTATCACCATAGCAGCAGAGAGGGAGAGAGAGAGAGAGAACCTCATCGATCCACAGTGTTGCAACGTTACGGCGCATCTAAACTCCTCCCGGCCATTGACATCATGCGGCCAACAGCAGCCTGATCGACACGCCGCTTACAGAGGACCCTATATAAGCTCCGCAGCTGTCAGGTGGAGGACACTGGCTGCTTTGCACAACGGGAGACTCGCTTTAGGGATTACTGCTCTATATACTCATAGATCCACACTGTAACGATGTCTCATGCTTGGGGATACGCACCAGACAACGGTGAGACTGCTCAACTGCACATACATGCTATAATGTATGGGGTTGGCATTACTGAGAAGAACGTTAAAACCAGCCATACCAGCAGGCAGTGTGCTGAATGAATGGAAGTACGGGTCACTGCAGAGATTTTATATCCTGCGCATGTGGGGGGGTCTTTTTACGCGCCTTTTAAGCGCATCGCCATCCCCAAATGGCAAATCGTTTAACTAAAAACATATTTCAAAACAAACATTCTAATAGTCACCATTGTGTCATTCTGTCATTTTTAGGACCCGACAAATGGGCTGTTAACTTCCCTATTGCCAATGGACCCCGCCAGTCTCCCATTGACATCGTACCTGGGAAAGCATCATACGACGCGAAGCTGAAGCCGCTCAAACTGAAGTACGACCCCGCAAACAGCCTTGACATCCTCAACAACGGACATTCCTTCCAAGTGACCTTCGTAGATGACACCGACAGCTCAAGTTAGTGTGCCATTAATATGCCATGAATACAGCCGCTCAGTGCCTCCTGCACGGTTTAATATCAACGCTCCAGAATATGATTAAGACATCTGAATGGTTGAAGCCTTTGGTTCGTCTTAACCTGGAAAAACAAAGACATGATGATTTTCAGGATGCAGTATAACCTTCAAAATAGGGCATTCGGGTTCAATGCATATGGCTCTGTAGCTCTAACAGACTCCAGCGTAAAGACTATAGAACTCAAGCATGTGATCATTATTAATATTTATATGGATGCATGAGTCACGCGCTCCAGTAGCGCTTAAAGGGCTGTGAAAATAGTAATCAAACAGACGTTTGATTTTTTTGGATTATTTTGGTGTTTGTTTTTTTCTAAGAACATGTATTAAAAAGGTGTAACATCCAAGTTGCAGCACAGTGGCATGCAAATACTAACTCAATTGGTAGCCTAATTTAACCCTTGGTAAACCTTCCCACGCCATCTCTTTTCTGCTGTTGTCAAAAGTGCAAAAACATAGGTTGCTCTGCAAACAACCTTGCTTGGTTAATCATTAATTTGCCAAACATGTGTGGAAATGATTATCAAAGACGCTTGATTTCCATTCCGAGGGGATTTTATTTGTGAAATGATGAAACAATTGAACGTGCTTTTGTTTGTTGTTTGAGGATTAGTTGTCCTTTAGCTGATCTGATTTAGTATAATGAGCAATATGGTTACACAATCAACCCAATTACATGGAAAATTACAAGAGGACACACATCAAGTAGAAAAATCAAAAACACTTTTGCCGAGAATATAAGATAGATGAATTAGAGCCTCTTAAGTCTTCTTTGGTATTTCACTGCACTTATTTTACACACTGCCTTTCTAAATAAAGGTCAGGCTTGTCATGGTCATACATCATGTCATGCATCATGTGTGTGCACAGTGGAAAAGATAAATATGGCTCATGCACCCTCAAGTTGCATCAAAACCAGTTCTGCACCAACTTATCATTTGAGGCAGACTATTAAGTTTTTTACAAATAACCTGTTAGGGTTGGGCAGTGGTCTCTGTGTGTGTGTGTGTGTGTGTGTGTGTGTGTGTGTGTGTGTGTGTTCACATAGCACCAGAAATAGAACAATGTACAGGATTATCTGCTACTGCTTCAACTACTTTGTATACTGTAAATAGATAGCCTACATTATGCAACATTGGAAGGAGGATTGATGTTAACAACACCTGGACGTCATTTCTGGCTGAAGTCTCATTTTGACCAGATCTTACACAACAGGAACTGAGTCTGCATCCATGAAATAGGAAGTGTGCCAGAGTATCACAAACGTGTACGTGACATGGTGTGTGTGTGCATACACTCGCATCTTATTCATCTTCTTAACCTGTTCTTTGTGTCTTATTCTGCTTAAAAAATTCCTTCCAAATAGGTTGTTCCTTTTGTCTTTTTATAACAGCGTTGCACAGTCTGACTGCAGCACTGCCCACATTCAGTGTGGGATGAACTAATGGGAGATGTGTTTTTGTTCTGCAGCTCTGAGAGACGGACCGATCTCAGGGATCTACAGACTCAAGCAGTTTCATTTCCACTGGGGAGCTTCTGATGACAAGGGCTCTGAACATACTGTAGCTGGGAAGAAGTATCCTGCTGAGGTAAGGATGCTCTGAGCCATTATGGTGATTATTATATACTGAGATAGACAGATTGGGGTTGGCATGCAGTAACAAGAAGAAAAAGGCAGATTGGAGTTTTTATTTTTTGTTTGTACTGTAGGTTGTTAACTTTGCTCAAGAGCAAAGCTGATATGAGGAAACAAACAAGCTCATTGGTTGGGTAAAACAATAGTGGGTGGTGAAAAGTCATTCTTTGATTGTCAGATTACAGTTAGGCCCAAGCAGAGAACTCATTTTATTCAAGTCTGATAACTTCCACTTAAAAAAGATTTTTTTGCTTGTTATCTCTCGTTTTTTTTGCTTGAATTCCAACTCACCCCATAAGGCCATTAAACCTCAGAGAATATTTGTAGATTGTAGACCTCCAAATTTGTAAGCAAATGTGTGAGGTTATTCTCCTTAAATACAGTTTTTGTGACACATTTGTTTAAAAAATGTTTCCCAAATAATGAGTAAAATGATCGTCTTATAACGTTACGTTATTATACACACACCTGTTTTGATCAAAAAGCATTTTAGAAGCAAAATAAACTTACATCTCAACAAAAGCCATCTGCTTTTCAGTTCAATATCTACTGTTAAAAAGAAACTCATTGTTTTCTTTTATGTAAATGAATTGTACTAAAGCTACTAGATTTCTAAAAACTGAACATATGAATAAGATTACTTTTAAAGGCTTTTTAATTTATCTGTTTCATTCATTCCCAGCTCCATCTGGTGCACTGGAACACCAAATATGCAAATTTTGGTGAGGCCGCTAGCAAGCCTGACGGGCTCGCTGTTGTTGGAGTATTCCTGCAGGTCAGTGGCAACAGCTTAAGCATGTTGTTCAATATAACAGCAATCAGCATAACACACTGTATGCTTTTGCTTTCATTCACCATAATGCATAGTTACTGCAAGCTGGTGATCATATAATTAACCTTCAACATTGTGTTGTTTTTACAGATTGGTGGTGACAATGCCAGTCTCCAGAAGGTTCTTGACGCCCTTAATGCCATCAAGGCCAAAGTGGGTTTCTATAAAAATCATATTCTCTTCCATTTAATGACTTATGATGAGGTGTTTGACTAACTTGTTCTTCTTTTTTCTGGTATTTTCTTTATTGGTTTCAGGGCAAGCAGACCTCTTTCACTGGCTTTGACCCCACTACCTTGCTCCCTAGTTGCCTAGACTACTGGACATATGATGGCTCTCTGACCACACCCCCTCTGTTGGAGAGCGTTACCTGGATTGTCTGTAAAGAGCCAATCAGTGTCAGCTCTAAGCAGGTATGGCTGCTCACAGATCCCATTCAGGCGTAGCAGTGGCTGTGTGCCCACGGTCTAGAATAGCCCTGTCTGCAAATCCTCTCTTACTCTACGGTCTAAATCAAGGGCTTAATTGTTCAGATAAGCTGTGCGGCTGAAATGAGAAGAAGAAACCTCTGTAATGGGAAGAAAGGCATTACAGCAGCCTATTTCACTTTCAAAATAAAAAAAACGTTACAACGACTGTTGGCCAACCAAGAGAACAGAGTCATTATGATGTGGCTTTACCACAATATTTCTAAGTCAACAGGAAATGTTCGTCCTACATTCTGTAGGTGAAGAGAGGTATAGTCTCAGTGAATGGGTGATTTCATCCCTAACTGCATCAACACAGAAAACATTATACCTGCATTTGAAGTATTTACTTCTGAAATTACACCTAATCCTACCACTTGAATGGATATTTGTCTTCTAACCACCCATTAATCTAAACTTACAACACCCCCTAGGCGGGTTTGTCCTTGTGGTTGGAGTCTTTAGGCCGTGTGAAAATTAACACTGCCTGGTTAAATGTTTATTTCATGGTGCCAAGTATGTGTCTCAAGGGTAAACTTGTGAGACATGTGGACATAACCTTTAGACTTAGTGCCATATAAGGCTGATCAAGCAGTTAATGACATAAATCTGAAAAAAAAGTTATATTTGTCATTAGTTAATGTTTTGTAATCAGCTAACAGTGAATAGTAACTCACAGTGTACATTATACTCAGACACCATACTGTTGCCACTGACTTGCTTTTCTGGCCCTGGCTGACTTAAAGAAATATTTAGAAAAGTTAGATGAAAAGATACATCAGTTATTGTGAAGCTAACACAAGCAGCAAGTTAGCTTAATTTAGCTTAAAGACCAGTAACAGGAAATAGAAAAAAATCTAAGAAGTACAGTAGTCCGGCACATAACCCCCCATAAAATCTTCTACGTAGCAGATTTTATTTTACTCCACTACTTTGCTGAGAAGAGATTTTTTATACTACACACATTCAGCATTTTTGAATACTGGACGTTTTTTTACACTGTGGTGTTACCAGCCTGGTCTCATCCCAAGGTCATCAAATATCGACATTTTGTCAAACCACTTGGCGTCACATACAGTTGCACAAGGTACCCTTTAGTATCTGTATGACACAAACCAGGCTTCCAGAAATCCTTTAGGAAATCAGGTGACATAGTATATAGACAAACAAGGAAGGAAAATAATAGCCTCTGAAACCAGGAGCATGACACAGCGGTGTCGGTATTTGACAACCAGGGAGGAGAACATGTTGGAATCAATAGACGGCCGGCTCCTGGCAAGAAAGTGAATAAGAGAATTTCCCAAAATGTCCTTTACTATTCCTTTAAGCATGAACAATACCACTGCTAAGCCTAATTCCCCATTACAAGGTCAGTGAGACAGTGCTGAGTCTAGTGATGTGTTTTGTGAGTGACAGTCACAGGAGGTCAGCAGGAACAACTAACGCCACCGTCTTCTCCCTTTTCACAGATGGCCAAATTCCGCAGCCTGCTCTTCTCAGCTGAGGGTGAGACCGAGTGCTGCATGGTGGACAACTACCGCCCTCCCCAGCCCCTTAAGGGTCGCTCTGTCCGTGCTTCCTTCAAGTAATACCCCCTCCCCCCTCGTGTCGCTGTTGCCCCCCCCCACCCACCCATTAGTCAGACACCCCAAGTTGCTTCTCTAGCAGTGAGCCATAAAGCACACATATCTCATATTTAAAGAAATTTAATTCCTGTGACCCATTGCTTTTAACTACATGACCATCTGCACACACAGACACACAGGACACACACAATCTCTCTGCCAGCCTGTCTGTAATCTCTGACTGACTGCCAGCCTCTGCATCACAGCAGCTTAATGAAACGCTGCAGCCGCCTTCGTTGCAACTGAATGACTCAGAAAATCCCCCTCTGGCACATACACACAAACAACATAACACGAACGGTCTTATGTGGACACGGTGCCTATAGGCAGTGACCTGCTTATTGATTTAAATTCAGTATAGCGCAACACAGGACCTGAGGGCAGACCGCTGCTAGCATTAGCTACTGAACATCATGACATTGGCTCATCTCTCTGTTTTTACAGCCTAATCTTCAAATCATTCATGTGTTTGTCATCCCGTGTGGTGTCTTTATTATTATGGATTATGTCTAGCTTATGTTTGAGAGCTTATGCAATATAAATCTTAAGTGATTCCTAAATAGTCTTTTATAAGCAGAAGGTCATCCGCATTTTTGATGCCCTGACAATACAGCAATAGAGAGGAATGATCCTCCTTTTTAAAATGCAATGTAATGTGTAGAGAAAATCCCTGCCTGTGTTGTTTTGAAACCTCATTGTGTTGAGTGCTAAAGCTTAAAACGCACAATTGCCTTGTGGGCAATGATAGAGTGGCTAATGCACAAAGGCAGGGAAGAAATTACCCTGCCAAGGAAGCCAAGGAAGAATCTGCCAACAGATGAGATTATAATGTCACACTGGTGTCCCGAAGACCTCTGGTTTTAACTCCCATATGCACTTCGGAAACAATAGAGAAGCTTGATAAAAGCAATTTATTTCCAGAAAGATTGTTATAAACATAAAAATGCAAAACGCCTTATGCCAAGCATTATTAGGGCCAACCCATGAGTATGTGTTGTTTCATTCTATTTTGGAAGTGGACATTTAACTAGTTCAATAAATATATTTTATGACTTACAAGTGTCAAGTGTTTTATTTGTTTTGCTTTTTTCTATACAATTCAGCACATTTTCCATATCAGTTGCTAGTGATGGTGTTGTTTTTTTGTTTATTGAGATCTATATGTTATTTAAGTCCATTCGACTTTTAAGTCTTCTGTGGCTTGCACGTTATCAGCTGTTGTTGTAAATTCTCCTTAGTGACTAAATTTTGTCAACACCTGAAACCCAACAGTATCAGAATGACACAATTCCAAATGGCATGCTGGTGAAAAAAGAACGTGTAACTTGATTGATTTTCTAAATATTTTCACTTCTCCCATTTTGATGGTTTGGGTATTTCACTGGAAATGCCCTTGCATTTTAGCACATTGTGGTTTCATCACATGGTGTTAACAAATCATCTGCACCATTTTCTATGCTGACTGATACTACATACTACATACTAGCCTATCTGGCACCTTTAAACTTCACCATAAATAAAGCCAAATTTCCTGGAAGTGCATGTTGTCATTGATTAAATTAGACTTTATCAAGCTTCCTATGCACCTTTGCAGACAGCTACAGCAATGTATGTGGCGGTGACTGTGCAGTGTGCAGCTTGCAGTGGTGGAGGAAGATTCTTGCACTGAGTTAGATAAGAAGACTAATACTGCTCTCAAGTCAAAATATGAAGCTGCAGCCAAGAGACGGTTAGCTTAGCCTAGCATAAAGACTGGAGGCATCTTACGTGGCTCTGTCACAAACTTACCAGCGCATCTAAAAATAAAAAATTAGCATGTAAAATCTTGATTGATTAAGACATAAATTAATTAAGGGATAAAAATGAGAAGCGAATATGTTTACGATGTGTAGCTATGTAAGAAACAGTAACTTCACTTGTTAGATTTTGTAAGTACTTGTCAAGAATAAAATGTTAACTCCCTGTAGTCCAAAGTACTGCACCCTCAGCATTAGGGAACGTGTATTTTCCTACATTGGAGTGGAGCTGCTACCTAATCCCATAGCTATGTTTTATTGAGTTTAGAGACTGAGACAGGGTTAAGTGGGCGAAAAAAACCTTCCAGAAAAACCCACATCATATCCTAATGATATTTTTGCTTGTAAGCTATTAAGAATTATTACTGCCAACACCAATCAGATGGTGGGCGATGTGTGATGATCTCCTGTCATCATGCGTGGGCAAGAAACGGCATCTTCTTGCCCACGCATGATAACATCTCAGTGTACTCAAGATTTTAATCAGCAGTGGCATTTCACCCTCTGTGAAATGTGAGCAACACTTGACTTCTCACCTCTCTTATAAAGCCCTGACAGGAAGATGAGACAGATTTTAATCAACAGAGCTTTTCTACATCCTCTGCTTGAGGGTGGGTGTTACCTAGGTTTTTTTTGCTGGCCTTGAGGCTCTGTGGAGAAATGTGGGTTATGTGTAGTAAAAGTTGGCTTGACCACACAGAGCTCTGAATAGAGCTGGACTTGTCCCCAGGGTGTCCTCAGCCCCCACAATGTAGCATGTGTGTGCAAAATATCAATACAACTGAGAGCTATCGACTGCTGAAATGTCTGTCTGACTACCCCAGTCAGAATCAATAACGGATTGAATAATTAAAAAAAAAACTCTTCAACACACACATCTCTAGCGGTGGCATTGGGGAAAGTTTTATAACCAGTCACAAAGGTCAGCTATTTTGGTGGCAGTAGTAGATACACAGGAGAGAAAACGAGGCAGTCATGTCTGGATTCCTTTTGTGGTCAAACCTGTTATCCCATGTATAAACGATGAGCATCAGCTTGTTTTGTTATGTCAGAGCTTATGCCAATCAGATGTAGCCAATAGTTTAGCAAACAGTCTATTGTTTTGGATGACCTTTTCTGCACAAAGTAATTGAACTAAAGGTGTGAAGAAAAGGGCCTTTTATCATCCTCCTGCTGGACTGTGAAAAAACACAGGCAGTGATCACCTGTATTGCCGTTTCAGGAAAGATTCCTTTCCACCCTCTTGTTACTTCACCCGTGCTGCCTTTGTGTTGCATGTTTTTGTCTCACTTGGTGTTGTGACAGCTGGGCGAGAGGAAAGACCCTGCTGGGTGCCATCATGTAACACAGATGTGGCCACGCTTATTTGTATGTTTCATATCCCACGCATGCCGTCATAAACTGATGAGAACATAACACAAGGCCTGGTCGTAGTCTGCAGCAGCGCCTATCAAGGTCAGAAACGTCAATGTCATAACAGATTTATATTAGCTACACTGGGCTGAGCCCAACACGAAATGCATGAGATGGTGATGGGGTATTGATGTTTAAATGGATTTTATTGATCATATAAAGTGAGGGCAGACAAATCAGGGCTAATTTTTTATGGTCAGCATATAACAAGAGATATGACACACCATGGTCAACATGACATACGATTTTCTCTCCCAGGCTTCTCACCAGTGGTGTGGCTTGTTGCAAGCGTGGCAGTCGGGTGACATATATTTCGGTGACACACGTATCCATAATTATTGGGAAGAGAGAGTGAAGGAGTCCAGAGGAGAAGGCCATCTAAATGTACACCACTGTGGTATAAAGTCAATAGAGCTGATGATGCACTTCTGTGTGATCTACAACCATTAGGAAATAACGGTCTATTCACCTTCTACTCAGGGACAGTTGCGTCCGAGTTCACAGAGGATGTGATGCATCAGCCTACTGTAAAGATGCAGTGTTGTTTAATCTTATTGAGTCAGGATGATAAACACTTTCACAATACTTCTTATGTATCTGTGACCCAGAGAAGAGTAAATGAAACAAACATTTACGGATAGTAAAAATAAAATACTTATTTATGAGAGGATCATTTAGTAGCTATTCCTGAGTTATCAGCAAATGGAGTTTGCCCCATTGTTATAGAAATGTTATGGTAGATGTTCTTTAAGGACTCGTCCATGTAAGACAACAACAGATACTAAATGGACCTTGTGGGGAGATTGTTTTCTCGCCTGCCGTTTCCAGGGTCAGTAATTAACTTTAAAACTCATTTTCTTGTCTATATTGAGTCTGGTATCCCTTCAGGACAGGATGATAAACATTACACAATTGGTATTGATGTGGTTTTATGTTCTCACAGTAGAGGTAATTTCAAAAAGCTTCTGATCAGGAAGTGAATTTGTAATTAACACTCCTGATAATTTGTCTCCCTTACAAATATTCCATTACATGAAGGGTCTAGTTTATACCTTTTGTACAACAATAGGTGTCACCACTTGAGGTTGTATTATGTATGGTTTCAAGTGCTGCAGGGGCACACTTGGCTTGGTCAACTTGCAACAAGTCCTCCAAATTAAATGATAAATATATCAAGTTTGCCAACGCTATCTTGAACGACACAAAGCATTTTCTGATTTGGCGCCCCTACAACCAGTGAAGGTGTCTGGTAGGAAGGATTTCTGGTAGGACTGTGTGTTTTTGAAGGTAATTTATGTGTGTGGGTCACGTGGTGTTTATCGATCATTTCTTGTTAATGTGACAGAACATAATCAAGGAGGTTTTTGTGTGTTCTTAATCAGGGTTCGAGTTTAATCTGAGCTTTGTGGGGGTCTCTAATATACTTCCTAACGTTACCGTGGGGTAGAGAGAGAGAGAGATCATTGCTTATTACGTGATTCAACATTTCCCTCTCTCATACACACACGGCAAACACAAACACACACACAGCAGTCCACTACTTGCCCCAGATGTCTGTGATATTGCAACTGAGTATAGGCCTACTCACACTAGGCAATCCGTTAAGTTTCAATCGCATGAAAAATGCCATTAAAGACTATTGCTCAAGGAGAGACCGCAATTCAGCCCTTTATGGTAATATTACAGTGTTATTATTTTGCGCACTGCTTATCGCCGGCACACAGTAGCATTTGTAGAAAAAAGTGTGTTCATTTAAGTCTGTTTATCTTGATTAATGTAAATAATTATAGGTACTAATTACAATGAAAAATACATTATTTGTGATTCAATATAATGGTTGTTGATAAATGAATTGGAGACCCCCACAGATGCATGATTTTACTGCTTCCATGGGGGCTCAGACCCTCCTTATGGGAGTTGAGCTCCCACTGGCTCCCGCGTAACTCGAACAACAATTCATAATGGGCCTGATGAAGAGCACTGTGTTTGAAATGCCACTCACTCATTTGTTTGTGGTGACGATGAACCATTTTTGCAGTAGAAGCTGTCAAAGCGCAGAGTTTTTGCTCATGTTTGGTCCAGTGATTCAGTATTTGTACAAGTGTATGGTTTGCAATCCAGTCCTTGGATCAGAGCAAAGAGAACTACAAAGAGGATACAATTGCAAGAAAAAAGAGATGCAGGGGAGAGTTAAGTTGGCTTAAAACAGGATGGCATGAAGATTGTTAGGTGGGTAGAGTTCCAAGTGCAGTTTTGTTCCTTAACCTGAAGACAGTGGCTGTACTGCCATCAGCTATCAATGTGAATCCATGTTGTTTCCTACCATTCTCTGCTTTTAGTTTGGAAACATTGTTTAAATGATAAAGTAGGAAAAAAAATATGAATGACATATTCATTTCATATCTGCTTCTCTAGCAAATCTCCTCATGCCTACATGTGCAAAATTTAGAAGTCAACAGTTCAAAGATAATATTCAGGAAGCTTTCCACTTAGCTTTAAGTATTTTTCAAACTGTGAGCAGGAATGACCTCACGTAAACAATTCAATAGCAAATTTCCTCTGTAATTTCCTGCCTTCAGTCTTCATTGTCATTTTATGTAAACATCCACTTCTCAAGAAGAGTGTTTCACTGATGAAGTCCACTGTGACAAACCTGTGATTCATTTTATTGCTTAATTTGGAAATTAATCTTTCAACACATACTGGCCTTTAACCTGCCAATATGACGCATGAGATAGATCACAAGAAATGTAGAAATGTATCACATCTCATGGGCTAATCCTTTGATTAAACCATAATATGTGAGTGTGGACTTTATTTACCAGACATGCAAATACTAACAAACACTGA